TATCTTCGAAGAGCAGCGCAATCTCAGGATCCTCATTCGTCGTTTGACCACTAGTACAAGCTTCGTGACAGCTTTCCGGATGTTCCCTGGAACGCAGACACTGAAGGAACATCGAACCCACAGATCACACGCTTTACGTCGGAGTGAATGAATTGAGGCAATCGATTTGCTTGTTGCGACAGAGTTGCGGCGCCACGACATCTTCAAAAATACCATGGCCTTTTCGGTGTCCAAGAGGCAAGGAATGCTCAAACTACGGTTCTCCGTCTACTCTCCCTCACCGGTCAGGCTGTTGCTGGCGATCTCAAGCCTCTTGAGGTTGCGCAGAGCTCCAAACTCGTGAGGGATGGAACCTGGACAAATATGCATGGCATGCTTTTTAAGGCTCGTCATCGTCCCGCCGGACCTTGCGGGTAAAATACGAATGCCGGCGCCGGCTGTACGACAGCGGTCCGTCTACGGTGTTCAACCAACAAGAGGGTTTATGACTGCCGGAGCACGTTCGAGGATGTGGATTGCACGACGAGCACTGCCGGGTTATACATGTCCTAGCAGACATGTCCTAGGATACGACGGTCTTAATGCGCTTGTCAATGGCTCCCATTCAATGCCATCATCAAGTCACCAATCCCAGGGCTGCGACCGGAGGCTGCGAGATTCCGCACGGTCCTTTACGTGCTTCCGCGCGGACACATTTCGTGTTCCTTGTCTCTAGTCCTTGCCGCTGGCTATGCCCAAGACAAGGCAACGTTGGACACCGGATAGCGATTTCTCAGTTCTAGTTCCATATTCGCATGTTTACGGTTCAAACCCCGCCCTCTGAACCGAATGTTCGAAGTGTGTGATGTATAGGAATTGGTTCTTGATCTTGACAGAGATACGGCATCACGATCACACCCCGGGAAAATCACGGCATTTTCGGTGTCTACTCAGCTATGCAATGCATGCTCCAATGTCCGCGATACTGTGTTGTATTTTAGACCCGGTTTACAGTCGACTTTCCCTCAATGGTCAGGCAACATGTTTGGGATGGACGAAGCGGCGTATTGAGGGTGGTCTTACCAGCAGCCGAGCAACACCGATTGATATGTNATTAGACCCGGTTTACAGACTTTCCCTCAATGGTCAGGCAACATGTATAGGATGGACGAAGCGGCGTATTGAGGGTGGTCTTACCAGCAGCCGAGCAACACCGATTGATATGTAGCCAACATCTTCTACCAGTGGGCTGGTGTTGATTGCGGCCAACGCGTTCA